CTTCTCCCTGCGCGCGCAGGAGACGGAGACGGAGGAGGAGAAGGAGGAGGATAAGGAGGAGGAGGGAGAAAGAGCAGGAATGGGGGAGGAGAAAAGAGGAGGAAAGGTGAGGAGCAGAAGGAGGATGAGGATGAGGGGGAGAAGGACTGGGAGCAGGAGGAAGAGGAGTAGGTAGAGGAGGAGGAAGAGGAGGAGGATAAAGAGAGGAGGCGGTGGAGGAGGATAAAGAGAGAGAGAAAGAGAAATACTGATATATATATATATATATATATATATTATATAATATATATATATATCACAATCGCAAGAGAAGAACGAGAGAATGAGAAAACGAGAGAGAGAGAGAGAGACGAGCCGGGAAGGAGAAGTGGGGGCAAACGGGAGTAAGGATGGGGAGAGGAGAAGGAAAGGGGAGAGGCGGGCGAAAAGAAGCTAGGAGGAGAGGGAGCGCCTTCTCCGTGAACCGCGACCCCGGGCCGTGGAACAGCTCGGGCGCCATGTAGCGCGGGGATCCGAGCAACTCCGACCCCTGCACCACGGAGCTGCCGTTCTCGAGCGACTGGGGGCGAGGGCCGACTGGGGGGGGAGACTCGATCGGACGCGATGCGGGATCGGGCAGGGAAGGCGCCCGCACGCGCGCGCCGGCAGACGGGTCGGCACGGCCCGTGACCGTGAAGCACTTTCAGGGGCAACCGGCGGAGAGCATCCAACTTCGTGGCTGGTTTGTCTTGGCTGGGGGGCGCATCCGTGAGAGCTTGCAAGGCTACGAGAACGCGCAGCCCTGTCAACAGCCCAATCAACAGGTTTGACGGACAACGCTGGAAACCCCAACCTCTTGAGTGGCTTGTGCTGGCTGGCCAGCACGTATCGCCAAAAACTAGAATCGGAGAGCTGCCCTGAAGCAGCCGATGCGGAGGGCAGAGGGCCAGGCGATAGCTGCAGGGCGTAGCTGCTGTGAAGGGGGTCGGCGCAGGGGAAGAACGTGAGACAGAGAGGGGGAGAAAGAGAGAAAGAGAGAGAGAGACAGAGACAGCGAGACAGAGAGAGAGAGAGGGAGAGAGAACAGCACATCTATACATACATTCTGGACGGAGAGAGAGAGAGAGAGAGAGAGAGAGAAAGAGAGTGAGAGAGAGTGAGAGAGAGCGAGGGGGATGGGGGGGGGCAAGGAGGAGGAGAGGGGGGAAGCGGAATGGGGAGAGAAGGAGGGACGAGCGATCGGATCGGCCGTCCTCGGAAGCGGAGCGCACGACCATGGCCGCCACGGCCCCTGGCTGCGAACGTCCACATGGAGGAGGGGAGAGGACAACGTAAGGAAGGGGGAGGATGACCTCGCCATCGCTCGGACGTCCATTCCCTGTGTTTTTTTCGGTTTCGTGTGTGATTTTTTCGACAAATGATCAAGGATGCTCCTCGATGGTCCTCGCCGAAGGAACAATGCACACGTCCGAGCGATGCCAAGCGACAGGAGAGGGGGGGGGCTGAACGCACCCAAACCCCTCTCCACCGAATTATGATAACGATTCTGGAGCGACGGCGACGAGAACGTCGTCGCCGTCGTCGTCGTTGCTCCTGCCTTCAGCGCCGCCGTGGATTGAGTCAGCGGCCCCCGTCCACTCCCGCCCTCCCTCCCACAACAGAGTTGACTTTTTCCTCGGGCGGCGAGATGGCGGCACCGTCGCGAAAACTAAACCGACGGCGCGCTTAGTCGAATTCCACCTGGCATGGCAAGAATCAATGGCGATATGTGCGAGACGTATATGCGTATATCCGCCACCGTGGCCTGAGGCACTAGTTGGAATGTCCTCAGGTCCTTGGCCTAATCCTTAAAGCCCTGGTCCTCAATTCAGGAGGCTCTTTAAGGAGGGGTTCATACCCCGCTTTGCCACATCTTCTTGGGCTCCCCGCGTCTTGTCGCATGACGCGTTCGGAGCCAGGAGGGCCCCAAGACAAGCCAAGAGGGTCTCCAGAGGCCACCGCGACGGTCTAAGAGGGCCCCGAATCGCCGAACGATCGGACCGAGACGCCCAACATGGCCTCCAGTCGGCCGAGAACGCGCCCAAGACGCCACAAGAGGCCTCCAAGAGCACCCCCAAGGGGGCTCTAAGAGGCAAACCTCGCAGATTTCCTTCGGTTGTTCAAGATTTCTGGGATTCTGGACTTTTCAAGCTTACGACGCTTCAATACGTCTCAAGCGGCCTTCAAGACCGCACGAGGACGGCCCAAGAGGCACCCGACAGGGCTCCCAAGCGGCCCAAGAGGGCCCCAAAACGGGCCCAAGAGTGGGAACACGAATCGACAATTCGAGCCTTCCGTCCCAAGATGCCCCCATATGCCCCCATGAGGCCCCAAGGGGCCCCAAGAGAACCCCAAAGATCCCAAGGAGGCCCCCAGTACGCTCCAAAAGGCCCTAACAGCCACCAAGAGGCCTCACAACTGCCTCCAAGATTCCTCCGAGAAGCATCTCACGACATCCCATCGAACATCCACGAGGCCTACGTGTGACTCACAAACCGGGCACAGTGGTGGCATGGGCCGAAGACCACTATATGTACACAAGATATTGTTGGCTCGCTTCGCTTTGCCACAACATCTCGTCCCTCCTTCTCATCCTTTGCGCAGGAGCGCGGATGTCGCATCCCACCACGGTATATAAACGACAGAACATGGTGTGCTCGTGAACTTGATGGTTTTAGGGTGGGGTACGTCTTCATGTGTGACGTGGACTTGACAGTTTTGGGTGGTTGGATATGTTGTGGTTTTAGAGGGTCTATTACGGTTGGCTTGCTCAGAACACATTTCACGTCTCACGGTTTGTAGTTGCGTTGTTGGTCGTGCTCGTGGTCGTGCTGGTGTGCGTGCTGGAAGTCGTGCTGGTGGTTGTGCTGGTGGTCGTTCTGCTGGTCATGTTGGTGTTCGTGCTGGTGATGGTGCCGGAGGGTGGTCGGGCTGGTGGTCGTGCTGGTGGTAGTGCTCGTGGTCGTGCTGGGAGTCATGCTGGTGGTTCGTCGTGCTGGCGGTCGTGCTGGTGGTCGTGCGCAGGGCCACCGAGAGGAAACACCAATTTTTGGTTCACATCGACGGCTGTTTCTTTGAGCCGGAGGCTGTGATCGGGGACGGTGGGCGCTTCGGGCGGCTTGCGCCGCGGGGCCCAAATCGGCGTGGGTTTTCGTAAGGAGCAAGCATGTCTGGAAGTGCAGAGCCACCCAAGGGCCGAACCACTTTTTAGATCACGACAACGGTAGTTGTTTTTGCTCTGGGGCCCATGATGGAGGACGTCTGGCGCCTTCCAGGGAAGCCGGTGGCGCGGGGCCGTCGTTGGTGCGGACTTTCGTACGGAAGGAGCATGTCCAGGGGCGCAAAGCAAGACACCTCGCTACGTATCCCAAGCCTGCGGAACATCACCTGAAATTTGGAGCCGCAGAGCTCGCCTTCGCGGGGCCCGAGGGGTGACAAAACCGTCCGTGCTGAGGTGCTCTGTGGCAACAGTTTGTCACTCCGTAAGAGAGGCATCGTGCAAACACAATGCGACATGAACGAGTTTGGCCTCTTCAGGCATTTTGAAGGTCCTCTTGGGGCCCTTTTAGACTTGCTTGGGGCCCTCGTGGGCTGCTTTGGCGCCCTGTTGTCCTGGCCTTGGGCGGCGTTGGCCTTGTTGGCGCCTTCTTGGGCCCGTCTCGGGGCGCCCCGTGGCGGCCTCGTCGACTGTCTTCGGGGCCTTCAAGACCGTCTTGGGCAGTGGAACCCTGGCCGTCGTCATCGTCGTCGTCGTCGTCCTCCTCGTCCTCGTCCTCGTCCTCGTCGCCGTCGCCGCCGTCGTCGTCGTCGTCGTCGTCGTCGTCGTCGTCGTCGTCGTCCTCGGTTTTCACGGTGAGAACCGTGAAAACCGACGCAAACTAATCGAAAAACCATGTTCGTGGCCTCGTGGAGTCCTCTTGCCAAACATCTGGAGGGCCTCTACTTGCCGTCGCTCGGACGTCCATTCCCTGTGCATTTTTTGGTTTCGTGCGTGTTTTTGTTGCTCGATGCTCCAGGATACGTAGTCCTCGATGGTTCTCGCCGAGAAAAAATGCACACGTCCGAGCGATGCCAAGTCTAGGTCTGTCTTGAGCCCCTGTTGGATCGCTTCGATGCAATCGAAAACTATTGGAACGCTTCTGGGCGGTCTTGGGCTCTCTTGGCGCGCTCTTGGAGCCCTCTCGGAGGCCTCCTGGGGCTGGTCGTGACCCGTTCTACCTGTATTTTCGGGTAGTCTCGGAGCTGTCCCGAGGTCGTCTGGAACTCATCGGAGGGTGCCGAATGAGTTGACGCCTATCCATGGCGGAGGGGGGCTCCTCCTGATAAAAAATGGAATGCATGGAATCAAACTCCCTTTTGGGCAAATCTGTGCGATTCTTCCTCGAGCGAGCTGAAACATGGGACGCTTTCAGACACGGTCACGTCCAGACGCAACCGTGCCATCATTCTTCACACGACGCAGCCCCGCCTGGCGAATGGAAGGCACTCAATTGCGCGCGGCTCCGCCTCCGACGACTGCCCCGGCCTCGCGTCGCGCGCCGCGCGACACCGCCTCCAAGGGCTGCAACGCAACTCGCCAGGCTAGAGACAGGCAGCATGCGCGGTACCTCGAAGGCGCGCCGCTGGTTGCCCCAAGGGGGAACACGCGGGCAAGAAGCGAGGGAACAATTTTGGTCCCTGGCCGCCGATGGGTGTGAGCCGACAGAAGCGGTGCCGCCATACGACCGCCCTCGCCAGGGCCGTAGGTGGAGCTCCCTATGCGGTCACGAAGCGTGCGAGGCGTGTGAGGGGTGAGCGCTCGAGAGGGCAACCTCGAGCGCAGGAGGGGAGAAACATTCAAACGGGTTGGGCGAGGGAACAGGGTCCTGCGTCTTCCCGAAATCACACAGCTTGGCATTGTACTCGCTGTCGAGTAGAATATTGGGCGTCTTCAGGTCAAGATGGGCCAGCACGGGGTCCAGGCCGTGCATGAAGTCGACAACCTTTCCACGACATACTTCCAGCGTCAGAAGGAGCCTAATATGTTGATGAAAACGGCAACGACGACCAAAGCGGGGAGGTACGGAACAACCAGAAGGCTTGGCATGGAAGAGAAGGAGGATGGGAACACCGAACACGAGATGTGCGGAGCAACGCGCTCGGCTGCGAACTAACAGCCAACATCAGCGCAGGTAGCAAATGACGACAAGAGCATACGATATGTTGCTTTCAGACGCTGGGATGGAAGAGGGATGCTGCTGCTGATGCTGCGGATGATGATGCTGCTGCTGATGATGATGATGATGATGATGATGATGCTGATGCTGATGCTGATGATGGTGATGATGATGATGATGATGATGATGATGGCGGTGGTGTTGGTGATGCTGATACATCATAATATGTTGATGAGGATGCTGATGTTGGTTATGGTGGTTGAGAGACTTATGATAGCAATGCGGATGCTGATGCTAGTGATGGTGATACTGCTGCTGAGGATGGTGATGGTGATGATGCTGATGCTGATGCTGCTGCTGCGGATGATGATGATGATGATGGTGGTGGTGATGATGATGATGATGATGATGATGATGATGATGATGCTGCTGCTGCTGATGATGATGATGATGATGATGATGTATATGAGTATGATGACGATGATGATGGTGCTGAGGATGGTCATGCTGCTGCTGATGATGCTTATGATGATAACGATGCTGCTGATTATGACGATGATGATGCTGCTTGTGAAAATGACGGTGATGATACTTGTGACGATGCTAAGATGATGTCGATGTTGATGCTGATGATGATGCTGCTGATGATGCGGCCGATAATGATGATGATGCTGATGCTGATGCTGATGCTGATGCTGATGATGCTGTGTTTGGTGATGATGATGCTGATGCTGATGCTGATGCTGCTGTTGATGATGATGATGCTGATGCTGATGCTGATGCTGATGCTGATGATGATGATGATGATGATGATGATGATGATGATGATGATGATGACGATGATGGTGATGGTGATGGTGATGGTGGTGGTGGTGGTGGTGGTGGTGATGATCCCACAACTCTGCGGCGAAAACGAGCTTTGGCAACGGCAGCGGCGTCGCTCAAGCGTCGGCTGAAGGCGGCTCGGTTTTCGCCACGGGTGCCCCATCGACACCGAAAACTGCGGTCCGTCTCCTCGCGCGCTGGGGCTCAACGCGCGACAAGCCACACCGCGGGGCTCACACAGGCGCCCGCCGTCACACAGCTACGAGCGAACCTCAGCAGCGGTAGAGCCCCAGTGCCGGGCAGGAACTCAGCCTCCTCCCTGCGGTGGCCTCCATTGCGCCAGCGGGGCATGCGCTCCGTAGGCTCCAGTCGGGTTGGGGTCCAGCCCCCCCTTCATCCTTCCCAGAGATGCTGGGCCTCTCTTGGTCATTCGGTCTCTTATTGCACTCGTCCAGCAGCTCTGGCATTCGTGACGGTCTCGCGAAGGCTCCGAACCTGCTGCAACAGGGGACTGGCCCAGCCACCCACAGCTGGGACTCTCGTGCGTGAGTGTCGGTTCCACCACGGTGGCATGCTGTGGGCGCTCTCATCTTCTGGGGCCTTCCAGCCAGCGCCAGCAGCTTGTGAGGCGCCGGGGCGTAACGACCCGCTCGACGCCCGCGCTCCTCGCCGCGATGCTGGCCGCTGCCAAAGCCATCGCCCTGCCTTGTCGCCTCATCCGCCCGCTGGTTGGCCGCCTAAGGTGCTGGCCTCCTCGTGCGGGCTCGCTGGCGCGGTGGCCGCATCGGCCGGCGGATGTGGACCGTCCGCAACCCCGACGCCTGAGGGGGCTGCCTCGGCCAACGGGGTACCCCCAGTCCCGTGCCACCTCGTCCCGTCTCCATCGGGTTCGGCTGCGCTGCTGTTGGGCGCGACAGCTGTTTCGGCCAACGAACAAAAACCAGTCCGTACCCTGGCGCCCAGAAGGGGCCGCGTCGGCCAACGGGATGCCCCCAGTTCCGTGCACCCTCGTCCCGTCTCCAGTGAACCTGCTGTCCTTGTTTGGTTTGGGCGCGATGGTTGCCTCGGTCATTGGAAGGGGGCAATCCGCACCACCACGTCCTGAAAGGGTTGCCCCGGCCAACTGGATGCCCCCAGTCCCGTGCCCTCTCTGTCCGTCTCCAACGGATGTCCAGTCTGTTGAGCCTCTGGTCGGGGGCCGCCTCGGCCAGCGGACGGGAAACCTCCACGGCCCGGTCCCTCACGAGGGCTGCCTCGGCTGACGGGATGTTCCCAGTCACGTACCCCCTCGCTTCGACCTCGGATGGTCCTTGTGTCAACCGCTCGCCCTTGTCTGCTGCCACGGGCGGAGGGATCGTTTCGGCCAGCGGAGGGGGGCAATCCGCACCCCTGCGCCCCGAGGGGGCCGCTTCGGTCAACGGGATTCCCCACATCCCGTCCCCCACTTGCCCAGCCTTGGTGATGCTCGTTGGCGCCACTCTGGCCGCCTATCGCATCCGTAGCTCCTGCATTTATGTCTGGGCCCCCATGCACTGCCGCGCCGGTCTTCGCGCAGGCCTGGCATGCCCTCTTCTCGTCGCCGCCTTCGCGCGCCACCAGCGTGCCACCCTTGGCGCCCACTTTCCTCTGGCAGGTTGTGCTTCCGATCTGATAGGGAGTGCCCCTTTTTCCTACATGGCCGCGCGCTGCATCTGATATGCCATGCCATGCCATGTGCTGGGTGCCCTTTTGCATGGCGGCCCCTATCCACTTGAGCGTGGCCTCAACGTAATCGTCCACGAGGTTGACCATCTCGTTCTGGGTGTCGCCCACGTCATGAAACTGGACCCCCTGCTTGGCACGCGTGTCCGCCAGGCTGTTGCCGCATCCCTGCCTCTCCTCGATGATGCCCGCCAGCTGGCCCGCCATCGCCGCGTGGGCCTTCACTTTTGCGAATTTCAGCATGTGCGCCTCGTCGTCTTCGGCCGCGCTCCGGAACTGGATCCACAGTTTGCGGCGCTGTCTCATCCATTCCTAGCACCACCTTTTTACCCCCTGTGCCACCCCTGGGTGGCCAGCGCGCAGTCAATCCAGATGGTGAGGTAACCAATGTTTGCTAGGTTGCTAGAATCCGTATTGCACGCTGCTCCTTTGCCTCTGGATGGCTGTCCTGGGCGCCCTCCTGCCCTCGCTCTCGTTCCTCAGGTGGAGCGCATTCCCCCGAGCTCGGATGGGGAAGGCGACGTGGTCCACCATCGGGTCTAGTTGGTCTTTGTGCGAGCGATGAAGCCCAGCGAGAGTGAGCGACACGCGCCTGCTCCAGAGCTCTAGAATGAAATGCCCCAATCTGCCTCCTCCGCTGTAGTCGAGCTTGTTGGCCATGCTGGGCGCAGCCCTCCGTTGCGCAGCCTGTTGCTGGCACTTTTGTACTGGGCCGCCACGCTGGCGGCGCTTGCGGGCCGCGTGGGAGCCTTCTCGCGCCGGCCCTTAGCGATGCTGAAGGCGCCCCCCACGCGGTGCTAAAGTCCACGTCCAGGCTCCTCACCTCGTCCTTCAGCGGCAGCGCCCAACGGCCCATGGTCCTGGCGATTGCGTCGGCGGTGGTCTGGCTCGAATCTAGCATCTCGCTCGCGATGTACCTTGCAATCCAGCCCCTGTCCGACGCCTCCATGGTGTTCGTCGCTGCCTTTCCCAAGTGAGCCGCGACTGCAGCTCTGGCCCCCCCCGCAGCGCGCGGCGCCCTTCGCATGCGGCTGCGCCTGGATGCCCTGGCCCACGCAGCCGCTTCCAGGGCGCGCTCCGCGAGCCTGCGCCCCGCCAGAAGGCCCGAGTTCAGTCTGGCCGCGTCTGAAGAGGCGCGGCCCACCTGCATTCGCCGCGGCCCTGAGTAGACAGACGTCGCGAGGTGCAGCAGCTACGCGGGGAAGTTGGCGACCTCAGCTCTGCCCTGGCAAGCCGCCGGCGTCGCGAGCTCGCGCGCCTTCGAGGTCCAGCGAGATTGCTGCGATGGCTTCTCCTCTGCTCGGGCCGGCCGCGACGCGGAGCAATGGCCACCAGGCGACCTCGTCGCGTGCTTATCCTTTTCCACCCCAGAACTGCGCCTGCATCTCCGAGCCCAGCGTGGCGCCACATGCTCTCGCCCCCTTCTGCTGGATGAGCTACCACCACCTTAGGAAACACTCGAGAGGGCCAATGAGTCGATGTCCTCCTGCTGGTTTGGGCAACATCACGATGGCCGACTCACTGGACGCCGCTGGATACGCCCCTAGCTCCTCACACTTGCAGCCGAAGGTGATGCCCTCCTCGATGACCTCGTCGGAGAGGTTAACGCCTTCCCGCGTCTTCATCTGGTCCAGCCCTAGTTTTGCGCCCTTGGAGAGGGCCTTGGCTGCGCCCATCGCTTCCTCCATTGTCGGCTCGGGAGCTCGCGAATGCCGCGCCATTCCTTGAATGCCAGTTCTGCCCCTGCCTGTCCGCCAGCAAGCCCCCCGTCTCCGCCGTCGACCCCGTCGGCCATCCAGCCTCGAAGTCCGCGCCTGCACGCGCGAAGCCCGCTCCTCCTGCGCCGCGCGACTTGATGATCCACTCCGTGAATTCCTTCTGCCTCTCGCGTGCGAAGGCACTGGCGCGAACCGCCGCTGCCGCCCTCGCTTCCTTCCCTAACTCCAGAGCTATGTTCGCATCCGCCGCTCCGCTTCTGACCTCCTCCAAGCGTTCCTTCCATGGCTCGCCCAGTCGCTGAGCAGCCGCCTTCAGCGGGGCCTTCGGCATCTTCGCCGTCCTCTGGCAGTCTCCGCAGTAGCCGGCGGTCGTCGTGAGCAAGAGTCTCTCTTCGCAGCACTTGTCTCCCGGCCCTCGCTGCCTAGGTGGCCTCGTCCACCATGCATTGGGTCGGTGCGCCCTAGCCCTGGTGCCATTTCTGGTCGCCCCCGCCGATGATGTGGGCGTGGCGTAGCTCGTGCTCCATCCTGTTGCACAGCCGCGAGAGGATGGCCTCGAACCCGCGATGTGCCTGGCGCCCT